TATTGACTGACAGGCTTTTTTGTTATTGTTGTAGTATGACTGCATTACTTGCGTGTACATCATCATCGTCATCACTATTAGTCATCACTGTATTAGGGCTTTAGAAATTCAAATTATTGTTTTGGTTAAACTTTGCACTTTATGATAATGATAATAACAACAATGATAATAAAAAGTACAATAATCATGCTAATAATAATAATAATGAAATTATGATAATAATAATCATAATCATAATCATGATAAAACAATAATAATCATAATAATAATGATGATGATGATGATGATGATGATTATTGTTATCATTACTATAATGATACAGATGATAGTGAAAGCAATGATTTATGTATATTTGTTTATGTGTATGTACATGCGGGGGAACACAGAGGTCATTGTGATAATAAAATGGTTACGCTTCATGCGTTTCGTTTGTCTCATCGTCAGAAATATATGTAACAGCTAAATTACAACACACACACACATATGTATATATATATATATATATATATATATATATATATATATATATATATATATATATATGTGTGTGTGTGTGTGTGTGTGTGTGTGTGTGGTGTGTGTGTGTGTGTGTGTGTGTGTGTGTGCTATACATATATATGTGTGTGTGTGTGTGTGTGTGTGTGTGTGTGTGTGTGGTGTGTGTGTGTGTGTGTGTGTGTGTGTGTGTGTGCATTACGTACACATACATATATTCAAACTGACACATATAATAAGCCCTAAAATCCTGCTGCATGACGCTACGTGAGCAGAGACATCGCTACGGCGGCGGTCGTGATCTGGTTTTTGCGAGGCTCGTCGGCGGATTCCTCCAGAGTAATGTTTCTTTTTCGTAATTTCACCTGGAGTGTCATCGAAGTCATGACCAAGCGTTGTGAGTCATGGGGCCAGCTGCTGGCGCTGTTACGTTTTTTTTGCAAAACGTCTGAAACGTTTGCATAACGGCTCTGGTCATTTTTTGTCATTTGAATTCGGACACTTTATATATACATACATGCATGTATAAATACATTCATAACTACATACATACACACACATATAGATGTATGTTTGTATGTAAATGTATACATATATGTGTACACACAAACACGCACACACGTTATATGTACATGTATATATACATGTATGT